AAGAACTTCAGGAGACCTCATGTAATTTTTCAATTGCTCATCCAAAGGTGGTTTCTCACCTATGCCAGAAATCAACTTGCCACGGGTTTGCTGTGAGATGTGCATCCACAGTTGCTTGTCAGCACTCAAGATCTGCTGTGTCGTGACATACTTGTGTCCAGCTGGAGGCGGCCGCAACAACGCAGCAAACATCTGTTGATTCCACTCTTCAATCAAATCAAAGGTCACCAAATTGGTCTGATGCATGGCCAAAGATCGGCGTGTAAATGCCGCACGTAGTCTAAGCTCGCCCGAAACATCACATTGCAAGTCCTGAGCCTTCTTGGTGACTTTGAGACCTCCAGCATGGTCAATGCTCAGCGCTGACTCTTTCTTTTCCTTGGTAATTTCTTCTTCTCGTGACATGCACTTCTCAGGTCCTACATAAAGCAAGCAACCATCCTCGATCATGTTTTGAAACTTGTCAACCAATCCATGACTTGGTTCGACTGACGCGTCGATGATCAGGCCTTTCAATTCCTTTTTCTGTTTGTCAATCCTAGCAAGTCTCTCTGCAAGTGGCATTTTCCTAGGCTGGTCAGCCTCAGTTCTTTCTGTTCTGCTACGTATGTCAGAGAGCACCATGGCATGCGCTTCAAACCACAGCCTACGAAGTGGAATCATTTCAGCTGGGGCAACCTCGACCAAAATCAAATCTTGGACTGCTTTCTTGAACTTCTCTTCAGTGTTTGAAGTTGGCGTTGCATCACTTGAAAAAGCAAGGCTCCCAAACGTGTCCAACCCAGCTCCCTTGAGCTTCTCTAGCAGGTCCTCTTGCATCCCTACTTCCAGCGCACGTGAGCTGAAAGCATGTTTCGAATCAAGTCCGGACATGGCTGCACTTTCGACCAGCCGTCGCTGAGTGATACAGTTTGATTGTTATCTTGCAAAAGATTGTCAAGTCAAGAGCGAAACGTCCACTAAAGTGAGTTATTGATTTGAAAATCAACGCATGAAAAACAGTGTTCAACAAGATCGAAATTGAAACGCAATGTTTCTTCATAAGTTGAACCACAGTCGTGAACCTTCAAACATGTGTCATTGATGCAATGAAATTCACTCTGCAAGAAAACATACATTCATGAAGCTGTTCACTGTTTTTCAAAGGCTCCGACAGTTGTGCATCGGATCATTGGTGCGCAAGTCATGCGCTGACTCTGAGCAATTCACGCATCAGGTCGATGAAATTCAATTTCATGTTGTGCAAGTCACCACAAAGGAATTCAATTCACTCATTCCCTGTGTTGTCAGCTAAATTCATGCTGCAACAAATTGAAGTCAAGTCAAGCTGGGTAATGCAACAGCGAGATTAAAAAATCATACCAGCCAATGCATTGCCAGTAAGCAAGATTCGACATGTTTGCTGAACAGATTCCCGCCTTGTTTGTCTCTCGCCCGCCCCAACTCACGCTTCTGTTGCACTAAGCACTCACTATCAAGAATGCTGTGCACACTGAGCACAAAATGGAAATTCACATGCCATTTCAAAATCAAAAGAAGGCTTCTTGTAGTTCGCAGAAACTTTTCGTGAACATGCCAAATTTTCACAGTCCACTGCTACATGCAAAACTCCTGACAAAACATGCTGCAAACATGACTTGAAAATTTCTTCAGTCAACGGTCCATTGTGCACAGGTTTCTTTGCTTGAGGCACTGGCAGAGTTTCGCTTGCACCCAGCTCAATGGGGTCAACTGACTCGTCAGAATAGTTCTCAATATCGACATGTTCTGCATCTTGCAAAGTCTGTGCAGCAATCCGAGCAGCCCGAGTTGCATCAGGGTCAAAGTAACCCTTTCGAATGGAGTCCAGAATGCGCCACAACTTGGTTTGAATCTCGGCAAGCGCATCTCTCGAGTATATCAATGGCATTGCTAACCTGGAGTCAAAATGGTGCCCCATGATACGCCTCTCATCAATTGACATGGCTCCAGATGTTGCCGCCCAAGACAGTGCAGTAGCCTTCAAGGTGTGTGTACTGTATGAAGCCGCCTGAGCCTCACTCATACCAGAGTTGCACAGCAGCTCACGTAGAAAGTATACACCTTCACCAGATGTCATTGGACGATTCAACCATTGTGATGTTACTTCATTCCAGGCCGGCATCAAAAATTTGAAATGATCCATCTTTTGTCGCTTCCGGGCACGAATCCATGTCCATGCCCAAGAGTCCTTTTCGTAAAGCCCATTGCCCAGGGCCAGCATAGGAAGGGCAACATTCCTAGCTTCCTTGCCAGCCGTATGCGCTGTCTTGAATTTCATGCTTGACGTCTCCAGCAGTGATATGTGACCACTCATGTCCAAATGCACGGTCTCCGCACGAGCTGCGTCAGCAAATCTTGCAGATGCCAGCAAACAAAAAATCATGAATCCTCCAATGCATGCCTCCACACCGTTGCACTCACAGACATGTTTCTCCAAAGCGTACAACGCATCAGCAGTAAGTGGTGGAGCTTGCTTCAACTCCCTTTTGCCTGAAAGCATAGTCCTGCTAACTCCGTTCACTCTGCCAGAAAAAAAATTGAGCAACATCCACCCTCGCAAAGCCAATGTGATGTTCGAAAAATCCAATTGCTTTGATAAATGACTGCAGAGATGTTGCAGAGGCTCCGGACAGTTGCAAGTGCTTGGCATAGTCGTACACCACAGTCTCTGAAATGTTCATGGGATAGCAACGTCCCCCATCAACTGCCCATCGTGCAAAACGGTGATAGTCTGCAACCCTTTTAGATACTGTGCCAGGCGCCTTGCCAGCAACAGCATCAATAAAGGAAGTTGAAATTTTCGACTCTGGTACCAGCTTTCCTGAAAAATCCAGAAGTGCTCTGCCCAGTCTTGAATCCAAAGGTTGAAAAAGAACTATCTCTTTGAGTTGCCGCATTGCACAATCAACCAGCTGATCATCTGTTTTGGCAAATGCCGTTGCCAACAGTCTTTTGCGTTTGAAATCTGAGACTCCTTGCACCGGTTCCTCATGCGAGCTCACTGCACTATGCACAACGCCCTGAACAGATTCAAACCGCCCATACATAGGCAGCTGTGGTTGCCTCCAAATGCTGTCCAGTGAAAATAGATTGTCAAAATCTATTCTATTCAAAAAAGAACTTGGCAGTGAAGAAGACCCAGCCACATGTTGAATCACAAGGTTGTCAATCGTTCGACTGACATCCATGTCAACTGTTTCAGCCAAGTTCCTATCAACCCGTGCCTTGGCTGTGGGCACCATGAAGCGTCCAGTCTGGTTTTCAACGTCATCTGGTCTGACCAAACTTGCAGCGAGTGAATATTCTTCCTCAATTTGCTGCTCTGCAAATTCCTTTTCCTCGTATCCAAACAAAGGACTGAAATGTGAATCTTGTCCAAAATCATGATCATTCAAAGCATCTGGAAGTTGTACGTGTTCCCAGTCCATGTCGCTCTGGCCTGCATTGTCCCCTTGCGAAACAGGCCACTGCGCAGCACCAGCTGCATCTGGTAAATCGCCCAAACTGTGTGAATCACGCACAAGTACCATGAAAACAAAACACTTGCAAATCCAGGCAGTGTTTGTTCAAATGAAAACTGAAAGTTCTGTCAGAGAATGCACGTCCCGTAAAATCAAGATCTTCCAAAATTCTGTCAGGCATCCATGGCGATATGGAAAAATCGGATAGAAAAATCGAACGGGTCAAGTGCAACCCACCCTCCACACCCTAGCCAAAATTGCGCGGAACATAAAATCAAAATGTTCGCAACAGAGCAAAAGGTGAGAAGACTGACATCAATCTGATCTAAATAAAAAGTGAGAAGTAAAGATCATCCTTCAAACAACAGTGACAGATGTAAATGTCACAACATGATAATAAACAGAAGTTGTTTGGAAACTTCAGTTGGTTTCCAGCATTCAGCCAGGAGCATCTGCCGCCGCACAAGTGCGGAATGGAAAGGCGTCCAACTACGGAAGTTTCAGCAGATTTCACCGCACTTCCACACATCTTAAAATAGCTTGAACAATTTGAACATGTTTAACATCTTCAACTCTTCACAGGAGGATCAGCTATATTTGCTTGACTCTGAAAGCTGAGCTGAAAACACCGCCAGGCTCACCAACACCGTCAGTTGGTTTTCAGTTCATCAGATTTTTCTTTTTTTTTTGTTACAGGCGGTACGTTCGCAAGCTCACTACTCCCAACAAACAAAGGCCACAACAAGTTGAAGCCAAACATATATAATATTGATCTCAAACAAATATTAAAATGTATAACTGCTTGGTTGCTATAGTTCATCACTATTTTAGTCGGAATTTACTCTTCGATCTTTTGGGGGCTACTATAGATATAGACGTTAGTTTCCATTGGCATTTATGAGTATATACACATATTAAGTACAATGGCGCATGTAAATCTTCTGAATTATCTATACAGATGTACACATACACTATGGCATTCAAACCCAATCTGTACGATGGTGTGTATATATATATATTGTGTATACATGTAAGTTAATAAAATTATATACGGGCACGTGAATCAAAAATACTATAAATACATATACATATTGTATATGCATATGTATATACTGTGTATACGATATACCGTATAAATAGTTCATTATAAATCATATCTGTCATATCAGAAACATATTCAGAAGATTGAACCAACATCATCATTGGAATATCATGATTACGCCATTACGCATGCATATTCACGCCCCCCACCACCCAGATCTGACGACCTGAAAACTGGTTAGGTGAAAACACAGTGGTTGACCATGGTTGACCATCATTTTCCCAAACGGACCCAGATGTGGTACCGAAAGGAGTCCAGAAGTGCGCTGTGAAGAGGCACCTTAAACCCACAGCCTTGTTCTAGGTGTGACAGAAAAAAAAAACGATTGGGGATGTTCCTATTGCAGGTGAGCATTTCCATTGCGACGTTCAGTTGCCCAAGACTACATGCCCATACCTTTCTGGTCTTCAATCGGATCACTTGTAGGCATTGTGAAGATCCATCTGACGCACTGTAGGCTGAAGCATCATCGCGTTTTCAGACATGTTCGAAGCCTCATGATTCACCGTGCACGTCGGCAGGGCTAATGATGTCCCCTGCTATGGAGGGTCAACTGATGTTTAAGGTTAAGCCCCAAAAGTGATTCGATCACATTGAAAAACTGATTCTTTAAATTGGTACCCCCAATTGATCAACAACCCAGGGGTTAATATTCATCCAGGGTAGACATTACAAGTCCGGTGATCGCCACATTACCTTTGGTGCCTCGGTCCCTGGGGTGAAAGCCTGACCGATTGTTCTTGGGGTTCCTGCTGGTTGGTGAAATCCCCATCTTTCATCAGAATATCATCCATAAATGAGGGATGATGAAGGATAATGAGGAATAATGAGGGATCGTTTATTGTCAGATCAGGAATAACTGCCTGGTGCCTTCCCCAAGTTCTTGGTCAACGTCGGATTGTGAAATTTTCCCGGTCGGATCGTGAAATTTCCCAGAAGGATTGCGCAACTTGGATTGTGAAACTTGCCAGTCGGATTGTGAAACTCTGAACGCGGATTGTGAAACTCTGAAAGCGGATTGTGAAACTCTGGAAGCAGATTGTGAAACTCTGAAAGCGGATTGTGAAGCTCTGAAAGCGGATTGTGAAACTCTGAAAGCGGATTGTGAAACTCTGAAAGCGGATTGTGAAACTCTGAAAGCGGATTGTGAAACTCTGAAAGCGGATTGTGAAACTCTGAAAGCGGATTGTGAAACTCTGAAAGCGGATTGTGAAACTCTGAAAGCGGATGGTGAAACTCTGAAAGTGGATTGTGAAACTCTGAAAGCAGATTGTGAAACTCTGAAAGCGGATTGTGAAACTCTGGAAGCGGATTGTGAAACTCTGGAAGCGGATTGTGAAACTCTGAAAGCGGATTGTGAAACTCTGAAAGCGGATTGTGAAACTGGTCTTGTGAAACTCTGAAGATGGATTGTGAAACTCTGGGGACGGATTGTGAAACTGGGATTGTGAAACTCTGGGGAGAGATTGTGAAACTGGTACTGCGACAGTCTGCAGAGAGATGGTGAAACTTTAGGTGGAGATTGTTTCATGGGCACTGCGAAACTCTGAAGACAGATCAGGAAACTGTGAAACTCTAAGTTTCATAATCAAAGCCTCAAGTCTCAGAATGCGACGTCCAAGTTTCACAATCTGATGTTTGAAAATCCTTACAAATCTTGAAAGTCACTCCCCTGTTGCAGCAGCAGTCTAGCACCTTTTCTCTCTCGGTTACGTCCAAACTCATTCCCACAACTTCAAGACGCGTCACGCCAAGGACTTCATAGTCGTCTTAACCTTCTGGACACTCCGAGTCATTTTGAAGTTCCATGGGGGTGGGAAAATCATCTTAGCCTTGTGGAGGCTCCAAGTCAGTTTATAGTTCCATGGGGGTGGGAATTTTGATATCATCTTAATCTTGTGGACACTCCAAGTCAGTTTGAAGTTCCATGGGAGTGGGAAGTTTGATATCATCTTATCTTAACCTTGTGGAGACTCCAAATCAGTTTGAAGTTCCATGGGCGTGGGAATTTTGATATCATCTTAACCTTGTGGAGGCTCCAAGTCAGTTTGAAGTTCTATGGGGGTGGGAATTTTGATATCATCTTAGCCTTGTGGACACCCCAAGTCAGTTTGAAGTTCCATGGGGGTGGGAATTTTGATATCATCTTAACCTTGTGGACACCCCAAGTCAGTTTGAAGTTCCATGGAGGTGGGAATTTTGATATCATCTTTACCTTGTGGAGACTCCAAGTCAGTTTGAAGTTCCATGGGGGTGGGAATTTTGATATCATCTTAACCTTGTGGAGACTCCAAGGCAGTTGGAAGTTCCACGGAGGTGGAAATTTTGATATCATCTTAACCTTGTAGAGACTCCAAGTCAGTTTGAAGTTCCACCGGAGGTGGGAATTCTCATATCACCTTAACCTGTGGAGACTCCAAGTCAGTTTCAAGTTCCATGGGGGTGGGAATTTTGATATCATCTTAACCCTGTGGACACCCGAAGTCAGTTCGAAGTTCCATGGGGGTGGGAATTTTGATATCATCTTTACCTTGTGGACACTCCAAGTCAGTTTGAAGTTCCATGGGGGTGGGAAGTTTGATATTATCTGAACCTTGTGGACACTCCAAGTCAGTTTCAAGTTCCATGGGGGTGGGAAAATCATCTTAACCTTGTGGAGGCTCCAAGTCAGTTTGAAGTTCCATGGGGGTGGGAATTTTGATATCATCTCAACATTGTGGACACTCCAAGTCAGTTTGAAGTTCCATGAGGGTGGGAATTTTGATATCATCTTAACCTTGTAGAGACTCCAAGTCAGTTTGAAGTTCCATGGAGGTGGGAATTTTGATATCATCTTAACCTTGTGGACACTCCAAGTCAGTTTGAAGTTCCATGTGGGTGGGAATTTCGATATCATCTTAACCTTGTGGAGACTCCAAGTCAGTTTCAAGTTCCATGGGGGTGGGAATTTTGATATCATCTTTACCTTGTGGACACTCGAAGTCAGTTTGAAGTTCCATGGGGGTGGGAATTTTGATATCATCTTAACTTTGTGGAGGCTCCAAGTCAGTTTGAAGTTCCATGGGGGTGGGAATTTTGATAATTAACGGCTTGCTCTTGTGGACGGCATGTGTCGTTTTCAAGTTCTACGGGGGCTGGAATTGTTTGGAGGAACTGTAGTTGCAGAGTTGCGCAATGCGGCCAGCGTAGTTAACACAAGCACCTACGAGTTGCGCAAGCAGAGTTGCGCAATCCTGGAAGTTGCGCAAGCGGAGTTGCGCAGTCCTGGGAGTTGCGCAAGCCAAGTTTCGCAATCCTAGCTGCGCAATCCGACCAAAGAGTTGCGCAATCCTAGCTGTGCAATCCGGAGAAGTTGCGGAATCGGACTTTATTAAAAGTTCTTGGAAAACCCGGGGTGGGACGACCCAAAATGCCCAGGAGCCACACTAACTCTGGGTTTGTCCTGGTCGTCCTCCCGCCCGGCAGGAACCAAGCGTTGAGGCGTTAGGAGCACATGGTGGTTCACTTTCTTCGGTTCCACCAAGGCCTGATGCGGTTTCCGCCGTGGTTTCTGTATTGACCAAGAGATGCGTAGATGGGATCACCCCAGGAACGGGAATTTCTTCACATTTGCTCACCAGTGCTGCCAGTGCTGCTCATAACTTACAAACTAGGATGCCGATCACTGACTTTATCACCTAATTGGGACTAACAGTCAAAAACACCTGAATTTAATTGAATGAGTTAATGCTCCAACCCCATAGATCCTTAAAGAATTTTAAAGACATTCTTTGAATTTTGAACTTTGGACCTTCTCTCGCCAACTCCTCAGCTCCTCCAGAACTGCATCCATCTTCTTGGACAACTGATCCATTCGGAGTTCCATCTGTGCAAAGCCCTGACCATTCGTCAGAGGCGTGTCCGGCATGATGGTGAGCCGTGGGTTCAAGTTCGGTTGTCCTGCCTGCTTCCATCCTGAGACCCTGGAGGCCCTAGAGCTCAGAGACACCGACATCGCTCCCCAAGGCGAGCAAAGGGCACCAAGCTCGCCCCAATTGGCACGTGCTTTGAGCCCGTGGCAAGGTGCTGGTCACCGGCAAAGTTGGGAGAGTTCAAAGCTCTGTCCATGTTGGGTGCCACTTGGATTTTTGTTTCTTTCCCGCCCATATTGCCAAAAAATGCTGTGCTCAGTACATGATGATATATATATATATATACATAGATTCCGGGTTTCCCCATGATATGTGCTGAGTTCCAACCACAACTTGCTCACCCCAGTCGTTACGGGTGCCTCTGGAAGATTCTCCCACACCTCAAGAGATGTCATCAAGAAGCTATCACGTTGAATCTCTACCGGCAAGTTCACATCATCAAAAACGGTATGCTATATATATATATATACTTATATATATATATATGGCTTAGGATACTTCACTAAGCTTATCATACAGCCATTTGGGGATTCCCCGAATCTCAACCATCATTCCAGTGATAGAAAAAGATGTCTGTCCTTTATGGGTCCACTATACCGCCTTCACGTCACCGGGACCCACGGCCACTTGGGACGGCTCGAATTCCAGGTACCTCGGTGATCCTTCGAGGATCCAAATGGTCTCGGCTCCAAATTAAATGTGGTCCAAACCAAAAACATCCAAACACCAGACCCCATTAACGCAATTTTTGCCATTTGGGTATTGAAAGAAATATGCAATCGGTTCAGAATAAAATTTCACTATTGGGTTCACCACATCAATCCTGTCATGTGTGAGTTTGGACCATCCTGAAACGGCTATTCAATCCTAGACATATATACATATCATATGATTGCATATACACTATACACGTTGGCCAGACTTTTGCGAACTCAACGTTCGACTTTACCCCGGGTACCCTAAGCATCCTTAAGCCACTTTCTTGCTAGGACGTATTCAATCTGCATGGAAATTGCCGCATCGATTTACCGCAACTGACCCGAGCATTGTGGATGATTGTTTATCCCTGCGATATCCTGTTCTGCATCATCAACTCCACTGCGGCACCCCAAACTTCCCACAAAACCAATCCACCAGTCATTTCACAATTGAAACATGACGCAAATGTTGAACCACACAGAAAAAGAACGGTCGCCATGTCTTGAGCGCCATCCTGATGTACTATCCCCTGACCTGCAAATCACCTCCCATACGGCCATACGGGATATCCTCCAGCTCTCATGATACCCCTAGTATCATTCTGGGTGAAGTACAGTCATACCCAATAGTATTACAGTAGTAATATTGTCCCAATATGTCCCAATGGTTTTATGGTTCAATCCCATTTTTCAATATTTTCCCAAGATGGCTATGGGTCAATCTTTACGCCTCTTAAACCACATATATACGTATATACAAATATATTTATACTTACAGTATATATATACATACATATATACATATATACATAAATACATATATACATATATACATATATACATATATACATATATACATATATACATATATACATATATACATATATACATATATACATATACATATATATATGTGTGTGTGTGTGTGTTGTTTTTTTCTGTTTGGTATTAGCATGTCATGAACCATCTATTTATTGGGGTACTCAATTTTGACCCATACCCATATTAGGGGGGTTCCTAAAATAGGGCTACCCCCAATTTTCCAAGTCATGGATGACCATGACTTAGTATTGAACCAGTGGTGACTTGGGGATCCCCCAAGACTTAAAGTCACCCCCGATATACTTTGATTACTAGAATTAGTACTATGATTACTATACGATTACTATATGATGATAATGTTAAATCCCAATTTCCCCATATCATCCCCGAGATCATCATACAATAATCATAATATATCATAATACTAATCAAATAGTTCCCCAAAATCCCCAGATGTTTCGATCATCTCATCCCCTGAGTCGCTCACGGACCATGGTCTCCGAAGACCACGCGTCGGTATCCGCGCGCAATGAGCCTATCGTGTTGAAAATGTTGGGATCATATTATCTCTGAAGTTTCAGATGGATGAACTCTGGAATTTGGGGATGATCGAAGTAAAAAAACGACGCTGAAACTAGTAAACAGCTAGCAACTGGGCCATTTATATCGAAGTGTGAAGTGGGATACCTCCGGATAGAACCAAGATGCTAATCACCTAGCTGAGGGGGGGATCATTTCACTGACCCACAATTAACAACAGCAATCCGGTGGCGTTGCGGTGACTTTGAGAGATTCATGCTCGCACTGTTGGCACTGAGCCACACTTTGAGTAGCCACTCTCAGTTTCTTATCTAATACACAGAGTTCACGGCTGGTGGTTCACTGGGGCTCTCGATCATGCTGCAAATGCACCTCATCAACTCATACCCGTTCCATATTCAGGATTTTTCTTCTCATGAGGTGTGGAGAACAAAAAAAGTGAATCCGCCATCCGCTTGACATCCCTTGGGGTTTTGAGACCCCGGTGGTCTCAACTTCCCATTGGCTCCTGGAGGGTTCGGAAGCATCGAACAGCTCGTTCGGCCCTCCTGTCAGGTACCCATCAGCACTTTTGAAACTATGCGTATAAAGATGTGTGTGGAAAGCCTTGAATCAAAGGGTATCAGCAGGAAGCCAGGAACCCATGACTGTCTGTCCTGGCCAACGAAGACCGGACAGCATAGGGGTGAAAACGTACCTGCAAATTTCTGATTTCGGATATGGCCAGGTGGCTATCGACATGACATGGTAACAAAACATGACGTGATTTCATGTCATCTCATTTCATCCTCTCCCTTCGGGGTGTCTTTCATGCACCCGGATCTCTGATAAAGTGCCGGGGAAGCTGGGTGGTGCGTCCACCGGGGATACCAGATTACTTTCAATTTTTCCGGTACATCATGTTGCCAGAAGCAGATTCCGCACAAGCATCCAGACGTTGCTTATCAGAATTCTCCAGCAGAAGAAGAGTTTCCATAATTCGCCAGATTGCATGTTCAGACTTGCCAGAATTACAATTTTTCATCCTCTGATTTCAACGTGTCATCCCATGCTTATCTCCAGCATGAACATCAGTTGAGATCGCATGCCGCTTGTTCAGATGCGATCCTGCAGCTGGCGGGCGATGACAACAGCTCATTGGTTTGCACACTTGGTAAATATACTGTTGCATAGCACTCATCAACATTGATCACAGCACCATTTAGTGTAATCTCATGTTTTCAGGCGTTTCATTCGAGCAACGACCACATTTGCTGACTTCCATGTTGACTTGCTGACTTACATGTTGGTTTGCTTGATCTTCCTTGGCCACGACCATGCAGGCCGCGATGACAGCAGCTGATTGGTTTGCGCAGTTGATGAGTCCGTCACCGCACGGCGCACCACCAGCAACACCTTTCGTACCACCATTCTCTCCAACTCAACGCCACCACCAAGCAACGGGACACAGTGTCCCACAACCAATGCAAACATCTTTTGCCAACTCCACGTTTGCACAACCTCCGACCTTTCACACTATCAACACACCACATTACAACACGGCCTTGCCAGGTCTTCAGCCACTTCCACAACACAACCCGGCCTCACAAGGCCTTCAGGCATCACCACCACAGTGTGTTACATCGTTCACATATCAACCAACAACACATCCAACCAGCACAGCGCCGGCACAACCGCTACCAACTACGTCGGCTTCACAGCAATATTCACCTACTAATGCTCTAACTCTACCACGAAGCCATGCAAAACACAGCCGCACACGCTCCCGCACCACACGGAAGCACAGATCCACTAGCAGACATCGCAGACGACGCAGATCTACCAAGCAACATCACACATGTCACACATCACGGCACAGATCCACCACACCACGTCACCGACGTCACACATCGCAACACCGTTCACGTCGCCGGCAACATCACTCACCTATTCTAAGATCCAGATCCAACTTCCAACCACGCACAAGACACAGAACAACATCTCGTAGCCAACACACTCCGCCACGTCACTGCAATTCACCACCCCAACAACCACCACGACCACGAACACTTCCACCATTACCACCACAGCATCACAGGTCCCGAGATCGGCATTGGTGCATCCACTCAACACTAGCAAGCATCACCAGCATTTGGATTCTTGAGCCTGATCCAGATTTAATTACACTGACACAGCACCTACATGGACATGAGCATGATGACGTTGAGCTACCGCCGCTGTCGATGCATGTGCAAATGAGAGGCTTCTGAGTGGACAGTTTCACCTTCGGATCACACTACACTGCAGATATACCATACTGTCATATACTATGATGCTATATGTCTACCTTGTGTTATCACAACGTTGATGGCCTCTTCCATGTGCTTGCTTCTTACTCGTATCGCAGGTTTGACTTCAAGCTGGGAAAAATCTAGTGGTTAATCTCAACTCCGTGCACAGACAGCAGCCTTGTCACTATACAATTTGATGCCCCGTTGATTTTTACTTTAACCCAAATTTCATTGCTGGTTAATTTTATGCTTGATTGTTTACATTGATTTAAGCACAAGCAAATTCACAGTTTGGTGTTTAAACTGAATGGATCACAAAACAGTTTCAGTTCTCATCAGTGGCGTCAATAGATCTTCAGGAGCGGATCAGCGTTTCCACCGTTGATTTGAGTTGAATCCTGACCTCGTGGCGCAATGGCAGCGGTCCTTATGACTCTTCGGACGCGAGACAGTACAGCATTGCATCAACACACCACCACGAGCACAACATACACGCACACCCCACCCACACTGGGAGGAACCACCAAGCCCACAAGGCACAAAGCGGTACGACTGCGACTTATCCTTGACCAGCACCAGCACTTCCGGCACTTCCGTAACCAGCACCTTCACAAGCAACACAACTACATCAATAAGCACATCAACAAGTATTTCCAGCACAAGCACTTGAAGCCTGACCAGAGCAACTACCAGCACAACGGCATGCTCTACCTCAAGCATATCAGCCACCAGCACAGGCACAAGTACTTCCAGCGCATCTTTGACCAGCGCCAGCTTCTCCAGCAATTCCGCAACCAGCACCTGAAGAAGCAGCA